AAATAATTAGATTTGGAGATTGTCTGGATACAGAAGCTAAGAAAGAGTATCAAGGATTTTTCTATAACTGACTCTTGCAACTAGATGATGTTGTGGAAACTGAAGGTCATGTCTTAGAGAGGCCACATGAGATCCCTGAAAGATTTCCAACAATCTACGATAGCTTCTTGTCTGGAAACACAGGGTAAGGTCTGGACTATAGAATAAGTCTGGGGTCTGTAGGACAAGAACTAAACAGTTAACCTCAATAGTGGCATGTCAAACCCACAATCTGCTCCACAGAAACCCTATACAAGGTCTCTATGAGTTGGAACCAAGTTAAAGACACTCAACAAGAAGAGTGCAAGCTGAGCAGTTTTATAAATGGGTCCAGGGGTAGGTTTGGACTGTAGCTATAAATTTGCACATCACTATCAAAGATTGATTATAAATGCAACAGGGGAACAGATAAAATTACTAAGAGCAAGGAAGAGTTTGGCTGAGGCAATGAAGACTATCAGTCTTTAGAAGCTAGGAACAGAATAAGATCAGTGATGACAGTAGAAAGGACACTGAGGAAGAACTGAACCCATACAAACAATGTTTAATAAGATTTGTAAAACTAAACACAAAAGACAGCTCTTTCCTGCTATGGTAGAGCTCCCAGGTGAAATGATGATAACTTTTGTGGAAGAGAAAAAGCAGAACTACGCCTCTTTTCTTCAGGTCTTATGTGTGGAGACTGGGTTACACATGTCTTTACCTCTCTGCCACGCCAAGGACAGGAACTCTCTGTTATGGTGAGGAGTGACAACTCGTGGGTATTCTGGACCCACCACAAGGAACTAGTCTAGGTTAGGTTTTCACAACAGTATGTCATGAAATCCCCACATTGGAGTGCACAAAGTAATGTGTTCACAGGTCCTCATGACCAAACTTGACCTCCATCTTAAAGAGGTGACAGTCACACCATCACATAAGGCATTGCTACTGGGTGCCAATCCCCCTAACTCACAATAGCTGGGGTCACATAAACAGAATCAGGGGTTAATTTTGAAATTAACAGAATTGACACAAGAATAATTCATGTGGCCACACTCTTTTCCTCACCAGGAGACAGGGGCCACCTTCTGGAGGGCAGCTTTCACATCCTTGTTCCTCAATGTGTAGATGAGCGGGTTCAGGGCAGGGCTGACGGCTGTGTACAACACAGTCACAACCTTGCCATTTGCTGTGGAGGCACCAGAACCAGGAAGCAAGTAGGTGTAGATGACAGTGGAATAGTACAAGGTGACCACCAGGAGGTGGGAGGAGCAGGTAGAGAAGGCTCGGCGCTTGCCTGAAGTTGAGCGGATGCGTAGGATGCTAGCCACAATGTAGCCATAAGAGGCCATGGTGAGAAAGAAGTTGACCACACCAAAGTAGACATCAGCCACTATAATCATGACATTGTTTATGATTGTGGGACTACAAGACAGTAACAACAGTGAGGGAGCTTCACACATGAAATGTTGGATGTGGTTGGGGCCACAAAAGGTCAGCTGTGTAATGAGTCCTGTGTGCACAGATGTATTGAGTACAGTGATTGTCCACACTGCTACAGCTAACAGTACACACAGTGGCCAACTCATGATGGTGCCATACCGAAGTGGCTGGCAAATGGCCACATAGCGGTCAAATGCCATGGCTGTGAGCAACAGCAACTCAGCACCAAGTGACCAGATCAGGAAGAAGATTTGGGCCAAGCATCCTTGATAGGAAATAGTGTCCACCTGGACTAACAAACTCTCCAGAAGCTTGGGGAGAACAGTGGTTGTACACATGATGTCCAAAAGAGCCAGGTTGACAAGGAAGAAGTACATGGGGGTGTGCAGACCTGGGCTCAGAGTGATGAGTGTAATGATGAGGCCGTTTCCTACAATAGCTGTCAGGTAGAGGAGGACAAAAAGGACCGAGAGCAGGGCCCGGACTTGTGGGTCTTCTGAGAATCCCTGCAGAATGAACTCCACTACAGCCGTTTGGTTACCTGTTAACATCTGGGTGAAGCTCTTGGGTCCCTGGCCAGAAGGAAGAACAAAACCATGGGTGTTTTGGTCTTAGACAACAACCAGGACTTGTTGGCATCTTCACCAAGACAGCACAAAGCCAAGGCATTAATGTGTCTCTTCATCCTGGGGTAGTCAGGGAATCACCTCTCACCCTGGACTCCCCTAGGCTGCCCCACTTGGCCCTGATGATAACTCTTCCTCACAGATTTCCCCATATGTAACCAGCAGGTCTGTCCCCAGCATCACACAGCCAATTACACAGTGATCACAGAATGAGCCTGTATTCACTTTAACTTGGAATATATCCTTCCTGATGTAGAGACTCACCAGTCTAGTGTGCCTCTTAAAGTCCAGGACTCAACCCTGGTCTCCTAGGCACCACACTAGGTGACTGATCTTTGCAACACAGGAAGAAAAGCCTTGGTTGCTGATGGGGCACCTAGACCTCTACACTCCTTAACCACCAGAGCTACAGGCCAAGGAGGGACCATCAGAGTCAGCTGCAGACTCACCTGTGCAGGTGTTTCAGGTGGAGGTATTACTATCCAGCCAGTTT